CTATTGCAAGCAAATTTCTTTTACTACTTCGTTATCACACCCAAAACATATCATTTGATACTTTACACAGCCTATGGTTGGATAAATTTAGGAAACAAAAATTTTTCGACAAAAATTGATCGACAATAGAGGGCAGTCGGAATTTTTACGGCTGTTGCGTTAGATACGATCAGTTTTGTTTCATTCAAGTGAATAATTGTTGCTTTTTGAGAATTTATTCAACGAGAAAGTGTTGAAAATTGAATTGAGAAAACGAGCAATTGTTGAAAATGTTTCAAATTGAAGACTTTTATAAAATTGAAAAGCATCTTTTCCTATTGCTTTTCAGCCCGGGTCTTGTGTACCTATACATAAATTGCCTCAGTGTTTTTTCTGTTTGCTTGTAAGAGACTGGTATTATTGACTTTCAAATTAGCATAGAGTAGAAACTTTACTCCTAATATAGCAATTTACTTCTAAATAAGCAATTCCGTTCTAACTAAGTAACAAGACTGCATGTTCCAAGGCAAAGTTCTGATCGAAGGGTTTCCCGAAGAGTTCTAGTAGTCAACAAGCGGCACACTTGAACAAGTGTGCTCAAGAAAAAGGTGAATCCTAATTTCAGATCAAATAAGTTATTGTTTGATTACGTTAACATATAGTTGCATAAAGTTTTTGACAAAGTCTTGGTAGTCTGTAATAACCATTTTGTAAAAGTTTATAAATAACCAATTTTTTCTGCTAAAAATTGTATGCAATTAAAAGGAAACGTCTACGGGACTTCTTCATACAATAAGCCGACAAGAAATAGATGGCAAAATGGTTTTGGCTTTACAAGTGCTTGATATGCATTTGTTCCTAATTTCAAGTCAATATTTCTCATGCAGCTTTTGTCTTGCAATGACTTGAACATAGTTTTCAGATATTTCACAGAAAAACATTTCAAAAACTGAATATATGCTATTTTCAACCATGATTTCACGTATGGATTCAAAATTTTATTTGAAACACGTAGCCTTACCTGTTCGTTTTGCATTTTGTAAAATTCAATTGTGAAAATTGTTTGAGTATGATAGTTGAAAGAAAAATTTTTGTCAATCAAAATACCTAAGCAATTACAACAAGGAATATTTTTTTAAGTTTTTTTCTTAAAGTTTCCAACTTGTCAGATTTGCTTGCCCCTCAATTCATGTACTGACTTTTTGCATCGTTGATGGTTTTAGCTGAGTTTTATATTCTCATAAAAAGACCATTTTGCAGTTGTTCAGCATAAAAATTGTAGTATCGTCAGCAAAATAAACAACCTCAACTTGCAAGACAATGTCAAATTGTTCATTTACATCAGAAAAAAAAGCGGTCAAAAATTACTGAATTTTTTACTGAAGTTCATTAAGAAATTCAGTCAAAAATTGGCTCAAAAATTGGCTCACTGAGCCTTGGTTTACACACCGGGAAATTGGTTTGTACTCAGATTTATGACATATTCATATCGCTCAGTATTTTGACATATTGATATCAACCAACAAAAAAAAAGGTTTTCAACAGGACCAAAGTTTTCCCGCAAACTACATTACAATCCAGCTTTGCAATTTAAAAAATCTGTGATTTACATTGCCAAAACTACCAAAATTTGGTTCGTCAACTACTTCACGCATGGTTTCAATGAATCGAGTTAAATAACCTACACCTGAAATTTCTGATTGAAATGCAAATTGTTTGAACGAAATGAAATTTTTCTTCTTAATAAATTGAAACATTTGATTATAAATTTTTTTCTCAAAAACTTTCGCCAAAAGAATGACAGTAAGCTAATTGGCTTTAATTATCACACTCTTTTGGATTTCAGGCTTTATGAATCTGGACATTTTTTGCTAATTTGAGGTGGTTCGGAAAAAAGCCGTATATTATATTTTCATTAAGAGCTTCAGTCAAAAGTTGACTCATAAAAATTTATACAATGTTCAGAACTTCATTTGTGAAGCCATCATTTCCACTATCACTTTTTTTTCTAATGTTTTGTAGAATCATTGCAACTTCGTTTGCAAAAAATTTGAAAAATACGCAGTAATTTGTAGTACCTAGCAACATTTTAAACATTTTGGGATTTTTAAATTTGGCTACAAGTTGCAAACCAATCTCTGCAGAATAATTGAAGTTTTCTGGTATCAATTTCATTGTGAATTAGTTTGCAATTCTTGCAGATATGGTTGAAGGCTTAAAAAACAGATTTAGAATGATCAGATGCTTAGAATTTTTTAAATTGTTTTCCCGTAACCGTATTTTTTTTCTGATTAGCTTCGTTACTAGTTAAAGCTGTTTTTCAAATTGACCATGAACTTTTTTCGTAGGATCATAATTCCAATTACGGAAAAACGTGTCTTGTTTTAAAGAAACATATGTGACATGTTGCTTCTGTTAATTTTTCTGGTTCGTTTTTTGCTTTGTAAAGAAATTTGTGTGAGCAATTTAAATAATTAGCTCTCGAAAGTTTTTTTCCTATTTTTTTTTTATAAAATTTTCTTAAAATTGATGAAATAAGACATATGTTGAAAAAAAAATATGAAAACCTGCCCGTATCGATCCGAATTAGGGAATGTTCCAAATGCTGTTTAAAACTGACAATATTAAAAAATATATAAATTGGTTTTTGACCGTCGAAGAAAGTGAAAGTGTATTTGGGCTCGGGTGGTTTTTTTCTCCAGTTAATTTTTGACTTTTTCTTTCGCTTTTTTGACATTATTTTTTTTTCGATATCATCTGAAAGGTACTGAATTCTTATGCTAATTTTTAAGATGATAGTTTGCTATGATCTGTTTTTGTAAGTTCACAGAGCTTGAAAAGTTCAACTTTAACTGCTTTTCGGTTACGTGGTTTTAAGCTTAACCGACCATTTAATTTATTCTAATTTGAATTTAAACCATTGGTTGTCTCCGCATTATCAGACTTAACTTATGACTTTTGATGCTTTACAAAAGTTGAAGAAAATATGTTATTTTGGAATTTTATCCAACTATGTTATCAATTTTCGACACATACGTTTCTCAATGACTTTGGCTGTCGGACATTCAGGGCTCTGCGTTTTTCAGAGTAACTTTATACGAGCGTCTGTAAAGTAATAAAAATAGCAAATTGCTTGCCTCAATTCGAATAAGAATGATTCAATTTGCCGCTTACGTTTCAATAACACGAATGTATTATTACTTTGACGACTTTATTTGAAAATAGGATAGGCGAAGCGCAATATACTTCGTTCTATTAAAATGTAGCGGCATATTTACTGCGTCCAATTTGAACTATTGCAAGCAAATTTCTTTTACTACTTCGTTATCACACCCAAAACATATCACTTGATACTTTACACAGCCTATGGTTGGATAAATTTAGGAAACAAAAATTTTTCGACAAAAATTGATCGACAATAGAGGGCAGTCGGAATTTTTACGGCTGTTGCGTTAGATACGATCAGTTTTGTTTCATTCGGGTGAATAATTGTTGCTTTTTGAGAAATTATTCAACGAGAAAGTATTGAAAATTGAATTGAGAAAACGAGCAATTGTTGAAAATGTTTCAAATTGAAGACTTTTATAAAATTGAAAAGCATCTTTTCCTATTGCTTTTCAGCACGGGTCTTGTGTACCTATACATAAATTGCCTCAGTGTTTTTTCTGTTTGCTTGTAAGAGACTGGTATTATTGACTTTCAAATTAGCAAAGAGTAGAATTAGCAATTTACTTCTAAATAAGCAATTCCGTTCTAACTAAGTAACAAGACTGCATGTTCCAAGGCAAAGTTCTGATTGTTCCGCATGCATTTTACGTCTATGGAGTAGAGTTAGTCTTGAAAAAACAGATGAAATTTTTCAAAAAAATGTTAAAAGTTTCATGTATTTTTTCTCGAAAAGTCATCATGCCCCCACACGCTAAGTGAGGTTTAAATTGATATCTTTTGCATATAGCAAAGTAAAAATAATACCAAAACGCTTGCCTCAACTCATTTGGAACGACTTCTAAGTCGGACTAAATATCCGCATTATTAGAAGGAAATATATCGCGCGTTATTTATAGGCAATATTTTAAACGTTATAACTTCATGAAAAATGATCACAAGTGAACTATCTTTTCAATTGTGAGCTCAGAACAAAAACAACTTTTGAAGAATTAAAAAACCCGTGAGGTTCATCAACAGCGTTTGAAGTATTAAAAAAATCCGTTAAATTGGCTAGTTAAAAAATCAAATGTGTCGGGAGAAAAAAAACCGCGAATACAAATATTTTCTCACTTGCTTCGAAAGTCGAAATGGAGAACAAAAGTGTTTTACAAAGGCAATAATTTTCATCTGCATTATCAGGATGAAGATTAAAATGATCGCCTTTTTTAAAAAAAAAATTTAAAAATCATTTAAATTTTTTCAATGATTTGTAACAGGCGCGGATCTTGGATTTTCTCGAGGGGGGGAGGATTTGGCGGATTTTCAAAAAAGATTTGAAAGTTCTGTCGAAATTTCCTTTTCCGAGCTCTCCCAAATCATTTAAAGACCTCATTTCGAATAAATTTTCTGCACCGCAGACAAATTAAAAAAAAACAGGCCAAGAAAGGCGTTTTTAGGCACTTTTTGGAAAATATTGACCAAAAAATCGCGTTTTTCCTCACAATTAGTATATTTTGGCGCCGGAGGCGCCTTTCGAAAAATTTTAAGGTCAGTCAGCCAAAAATGGATATCTCAAAATAGTACAAAGGGCGGACTCTTTGGGTCGGCAGGGGGGTCGAATCCCTGAGAGAAAGCGTCCGCCCCCCTAAATCCGCAACTGATTTGTAATATTATAGTTAGAATCTAGCGTTGGATTATAAATGAGGTGACTGCAATTCTGTTTTGGGATAAATAAGTAAAAACATCACACTCACACGTTTTGATTTTGACGCCTGCCTTCTGGCCTCACGACCAGGAATGATTTTTCATTTGGTCTTCAATATCAACCTAAGCTGTAAATAAGTAAAGTTTCGTCACACTTCTTTTTATTTCAGGACTTGTGACCGTTCGCAGTGTAGTTCTGGATGCAAAAAGTGACCCCTACGACAAAGGTCAAAACCCAATCTTCTCTGAAGACTTCTTCAGCCAGCACGGACTGCTACCCTGAATTGGAATTATTTATCAACCATTTATTGTCTAACAAAGAAAAACATTTTGGCCAAGTTATGATTTTTTTCAAAATGCATGCTAATTATGTGCAAATTTTACAATTTTTCAAAAATTTGGTTATTTTTTCGCTGACTTGAAAACTGGAATTTTAAACTGCATTTTTTTCAGTCGACGTCAAAGTGAGGAATATAATTTAATTCAACCATTCAACATTGAACCTATTGTTTTCTGACCGGGTTTCAAAAAATGTTATCGATTTTTAAATTTTTTTCTGGATTGACCAAAACGATTACCCGAGTCCCCATATAAGCGAAGTCTAATATACCATCACGAAGGATCCTGCTGCAAAAATGTCTACGCCGCAGACAATATTTTCTGAAAAATGGCCAAAATTGCCGTTTTTGAGCACTTGTTCAAAAAATTTGCCGAATCAAATATGCTTTTATTAGAGCCAAAGCCGCTTTCAGAAAAATATCAGAAACAGGTGGAGAAAATATCAAGTTCAAATTTGATTTTGTTTTGCTGTTTGAGTTTGAGTTTTTCTAAGTGCAATTCAAATTCATTGGTCAAAAGGAAGGCAAATTACTCTTCCCATGTAAAAAAAAATGGTACAAAAAGTTGAATGTTTTTCAGTTCCAAAATTAGATTTTAACTTTAAAATTACCCAGCAGATTAAAAAAGTTAGATTTTGGCCCAATCTTCTCTAACTGGGCCAGTTTCAAGCAAAAACTGGTGATCTTAAAAAATTCCTGAAGTTCGAAAAGTTTTTAGGAAGATTTTTTTTTAAATTTCGAATGCATTCCATTTTGGCTCCTTCAAATAGCGAGCAGTAATACAAGCAGTGTTACTACTGTCCAATATTTAAAAATTTTTAAATATTTAAAAACAGTCTCGTTTGTTTTTTTTTCAATTTTGTCATCTGATTTTGCCTGTATTCATTACATACCAGAAGAAAGTTGGAAACGTGTCGAACCCATCGACACGTTTCCAACTTTCTTCTGGTATGTAATGAATACAGGCAAAATCAGATGACAAAATTGAAAAAAAAACGGGACTGTTTTTAAATATTAAAAATTTTTTAAATATTGGATAGTAGTTACACTGCTTGTATTACTGCTCGCTATTTGAATTTTTAAAACAATTTTCAAAAAAAAAAAACTAGAAAAGTGCGCAGTTTTGTTTTCCAATTTTATTTGAAAATCTTTGCCCCAGGTTTGTAAATTACAAAGTGATACATTTAGAGTCTAGTAATGTCTCTAATTATTGATTAAACCGATTACTAGCTTCAATTTAACTTGGAATATTATCGAGCCAGATTAGTCTGCCGCTTACACGTTAAAAAAACGATATGCATTGAGCCCAAACAATTATACAAAGTGCGTTAACTTATTCAAAAATAACCAATGGAGTGTTTGAGAGTGCAATACTACTTTTGATAGCATCTCAAACTGAGCAAAAAGAAAAACATTATAGCGAAACAGGTACAGATCTAGGGTTTTCTCGAGGTGGCGGATTTTCAGAAAAAAATCGAAAATTTTTTTGACCTTTTTTTCTAGGTCGACCAAATTGATTTTCTTAGTTCTCTCAAATCCCTATAAAGACCCCATTTGGACCAAATTTTCTGCGCCGCAGGCAAATTTATGAAAAACAGGCCAAAAAAAGGCGTTTTTAGGCACTTTTTGGAAAATTTTGACCAAAAAAATCGTATTTTTTCGGCGCGCGCTGCCCCCTCCAAAGGCGCCTTTAGAAAAATTTTAGGGTCGGTCATTCAAAACTGGATATCTCATAATAGTACAAAAGGGGGACCCTTGGGGTCGGCAGGGGGTCGAACTTCTGAGGAAAGACGTCCGCTCCGCCCATACCCCCCCTCCCCCCTCCCCCCTCCCCCCTCCCCCAATCCGCTGGTGTAGCGAAACCTGAAATGAAACATGAGTGTCTTGCGAATTGAAAACATAAAATTTATGAAAAAACGGCTGAATTAGACAGCTGCACAAAACAATAATTTGAAAGTTGAAAGCGCATGAAAATTAAAAAATTAAAAATTTCGAGAGATTCATGATTATTGAGCAATCTAGACATTTTGATAACTCTAATTCTCTTTTAAAATTTTTGGATTATTTTATTCTCAAATGTGATGCTCTTAGCTAAAATTTGTGTCGTCTCAATCATGCTGTTACCCGCATCCAGTTTTAAGCGTTAGTAATCGATTATATTACGATTTTAGTACCAGTCTTACTAAAATTGAAAAGTAATCAATTTTGATCAATTTTTAATGGATTATAATCTCTCTTTTAAAATCAAATTGTAATTAATTATCTTACATTAAAAGCAATTATAATCTATTATTTATTCGTCCATTTTTCGATACAATTATAATCAATTATATTTAATTATAATCCATTATTTTTATTCAAAATTCTAATTTCGTAGTTTTGCACAAAAATCCATTATAATCGATTATAATTGATTATATTCCGATTTGTTTGTCCATTTTGTCTTCGAAGTTGCATCTTAATTGGTTATATTTTATGCTTTTTGTAGACTTTGGTTCGTATGAAAAATGAGAAAAATGTTTTCAAAGTTTTCCAAACAATTCAAATTTATAAAATTTTTTTCATTCCCTCTCCATTAGAGTTGTTTTGTGATGAATTTTTTAAACTTTTTTAACCACCAAAACATCAGCAAATTGATTTAGTTTCATGATTGATTTGGAAGATTTATTTTTCATCTACCGCGGTAACCTTTCCACTAATATGAAAGGATCTCTATAAAACTTTTGTTTCGTGGTAAAACTTTGGGTTCAGATGAACCAAAGTGTTCAAGAGATCTCTTTTCTAGAAAATTTCTTATTGACACAAAATTAATAACCCATAAGGAATAATTCGAATATTATTTTGAATTGACAAAATTTTGGCAAAAAAAGATTATAATCAATTATAATTAATTTTAAGGGTTTTTTGTAAGAACTATACTCAATTATAATCAATTATAAATCCTTTAAACACCTTATGTTGGTAATTATAATCAATTATAATTGTCAAAAAATCATCATAAAAATCCGTTATAATCGATTACTTACGCCTAAACTTGGATGCGGGTACTGTCACTTACCGTCAGTCTTCCAAAGAAACTAATTGCAACTTGGGGTCTTTTCGGTTATTTCCCCCCTCCCTTCCCCCCACTAAATGATAAAAAAAATATAAATTAACTTTTTTTTTCAAAGTTTGACTGATTTTCCTTAAAAACGCAGATCTAATATCCTGAGTGTTAAATCAAGCTAGAAGCTGGCAAAAAATTTGAACTTAACGACAATTAAAAACGCATTTAGCATACTTTCAATGAAACTTATGCTTAAAAAAGGCAAAATTTGGGGGGGGGGGAGTCAGTTTGAGGCTCAATTAAGTAGAAATGGTTAATTTCCACCAGTCCCATAATAAAATAATTAGCTTCCTAGTAACAGTGTCCCAAATTTTTTCATAATTTAGGAGGGTGGGTATAACCAAAAAGACCCGCAATTTGTGAAGAATCGTATCGGCCCATTTAGGCGATATTCCTTTCATATCGCTCGAGTGAACTATCTCCAACCCCCAAACATATAAAGACTAGTGATGCAATAATATTGGATAAGTTTTCATCCCCCCCCCCCCCCCCCCCAATTTGGAGGAAGACTCTTTCCATGATCCGACCATACATTTTTTTAAAATTGTTTTTAAACACCATGATGTGACCGCCGGAAGTCAGTGAGTCATTTGGTAAGGACTTTTACGACATTAATCGTGAGAGTAACTACGAGAATAGTTTTTTGCCTCATGGCGAAGAAGAAATGATCTGTAGTGCTAATTTAGATCAGTTTCTTAATTAGTTTGTAACAGGTGCTTGTGTTGACTTTAACCTAAACCACTCCATCGGAGTGACCGTGCTCATTTTTAATGTTTTGAAATTTAAGTAATTCAATTTCTATAATTTTTATTTCTTGTAAAGACTTTAGCTGTCGCGTTAGGTAGTTTTATCACTATCAGAGGGAGCATAACTAATCTCAAAACTGCAAACGTTTGTTTTGATCACCTTGAGTCTGGACTACAACCACCTGGGACTGGACTGCCGTCTCAGCCCGTGAAAGATTCGAACTAGTTTCTGCGGCTATTTGAAGTAAATAAAATAGTCTGGTGATAAAAAAAAACGATGTTTCTTGTTTTTTGGAAAAAATGGTTATCATACAATTTCCATATATGAAAATTGTATGACTAGCATTTTTTTAATGGCGACAACAAAAATTTTTCAAATTAAATTTGAAATTGCCCCAAAACTTTTTGTTTTTTTTTCAACCGCAAATCGAATTTTTTACTAAAACAAATACTTTCCAAAAAAAATTTTGCATGCAAATTTTGTTTTGTTTTTTCTGTATAACGTAGTCCTGGATACACAAAATTTGGATTTTTTTCCGTTTCTCTGGATAATTTTTTTTCAAACTGGCTAAAAACTCCTATTTTTTTGTATGGCATGTTTATATATGCCATGATTAATGTCTGATAATTTGAAAATTCTAATTTTGAAAATAACCATCTTTCAAGTTCTTGCCAAAAATTAAAAGTTTGATACTTTCAGTATATCATTTGTGAATACTTCTCTTAAAGTCGTTCCAAATGCATTGTGAATGCCAGACGATCAACCCTTTGTTGACTTTAGTTTGGAGTAAACCATGGGTTTAGTCATTTGTGTTCGGTTACGAATACATCCCGAAAATTTAGAGAAATGAATGTTTACAAAAAAAACTTTGATTTTTGAAAAAATGCTTATCTTAGAGTTTTCTTAACCTTTCTCTATCTATGGAATTGTACGAAACTGTATGATAAGCATTTTTCATAAATGAAAATTGTAGGACAAGCATTTTTGGTCAACCCGGGATAGCAGCAAGATTTCGAAAGTCTGGAGACCTAGTGTAATCACAATTTTTTGAACAAAAGTTCGATTAATAATAATCAACTGGAAAAAACCCAACCTTACAGGATTCAAAACTACAAAACGCCCGGGTTGACCAAAAATGCTTGCCTAC